CTGTAAAGATAAAACAAATTTAAATCAGATTTTAAATGACTGATTAGTAATCAGTTATTTTATTCAGTAAACAAATCAAACTTATTCACTCTATGTGACTGACATGGAAAATGCTGACAGAAGTTGTTTGGTTTGGTTTGTTGTGTTTTACGGTATATCAACCTCAATTGGTTATTTAATGCTGACAAAGTTTTTAGTGCTGGTAGTATTTGTTTTGTCAAAAATCTATTTCTGGTAATAATTTTTCCTTCAAAAATGTATTGCTGGTAATAATTTTTTTCAAATAAAAGTACTGCTGGTAATATTTTTTTTCTTCAAAAATGTATTGCTGGTAATAGTTTTTTTTTTTTTTTTTTAACAAAGTATTCCTGGTATTTCGGTGATTTCTTGATTGACCAGACCACACTGTCAGTCACCTATGATGACTCCAGGGATAGTAATTAATTTTTCTCTATTACTTGTATCCAAAGGAATCTGAATTAATGTCGGATATAAAATTTTTGATGACTGTCATAGAAATTAAAATTATCTTAGGCACTAATTAAATAAACTCATTTTTATCCCAGTTTTGGGATTAACTATTTGCCCATAGCTGGGACCCTAACAGGTGCTACCACCCTAAATCAGGGTGGACCTGGGAACACCAGCAATTAAGAGGTGGTTCCACATTCCTCAAAACCTCCTGATCTTGCTGTTGGATGAAGTTTATTGTCTTACCCAGGATGCGGATATAGTTTATCGTCATACCCAGGATGGACAGAAGTTGTTGATTCCAGTCCAAGTAGGAATGACTGCAATAACAAAGATTTTATTCACCAGTTTATTTTATTCTTTTTATATTCAATAAACCTGTTGTCAGAGTTATTTGTAAATATGGACACTACTGGATTATAAATGGACCAAATAGCATAAAAATGCCCTTAAAAATTGCATTTTATCAACCTGTAAAAATGCAACTGTTCACATTTTGTTAATGTCTATTCATCACACATGTAGTTTTGATTGATTAATAAGAAAAAAAAATAATTTTAATAATTCATGTTGATTTAGCCAAAGTGTTTAAGCAGTAAAAATCAATAAAGATTGAATTTTGGTTCCAATCTGAATCCTCTTCCCAATTTATAAGCAGAAATACACAAATGCATGTTGTGATTTCTTCATAGTTAGTAAAATGGGCCAGTTCTTGGTTTCCTATGACTCAGTCTTGGTCTGTCTTGTCTGGAAGTCAGAATGCTACTTTTGTTTATCTGAATTTGATTTTCTGTGTCAACCACAATTCTTAATTTGTGAACATTTTTTACTGTTTTTTTGTCATATTACTATTGTTTGCTTTATTACTGTTAATTTGAATTGCATATATTGATGGCTTGCTTTATATTATTTCTTTACTTTTTCTTGCTTATTACAAACTTTGTCAATTCTGTTAATCAATTGGGCAGTTCTGCAATTTATTTACATTTAATCATGGCCACTAGCTCAATAAACTAAACAGTTCTTGGTTATTATCCAAGATTAAAGGGAGGTTACTTTGAAATTTCAATTACCTCCCTTTAATGTTTGATGTTTAATCAATATAGATAATTTCTACATAAGAAAATCTGATGAAAAACAATCTTCCTGCAATACATCTTCCCAGTTTGAACTTGTGTTATATTAATTTAAGAAAGAGTTTGTTAATATTAGCTTTTTTTTAAAAATATCAATTCATACTGATTAATCCGCAGACATCAGTAAATGCTCTGATATTTCCCTTTTAATATAAAGAGGAAGTATTGTCTGGGGAAAGTGTCTTTCATTTAACTCTATAACTATTTTTTTTTTGTTTTCACTTTTAATTTTTACCTCATGACAGGAAGGCTATAGACTTTTAAAGCTGTAGAAAATATAACCATTTAAAAAAAAAAAATTACTTTTTTTTATGGCTTATCAACTTTTTGCAGTTTATTTAAAGCCAGAAAATATTTTTAGATTGTGATAATTTTTGGAGATTTACTGATACAAGTCTTATTAATTAACCTATAGCTGGAGGGAGGGAAGAGGTGGATTCATGCCTTTCCCAAGAGTATTTCACATAAGTGAATATAATGAACCTGACTGGAATTGGAACTTGGCTCTCCGATTTCAAGCCATTATCCATTACACCACCTGCACACCCAAGCTTAAAGCACCTGTTATTTCCACATGATCACCCATATTTGTTGTGGCTCACATGTTCAGTTCATGGTATTCTCAGTATCCTTCTGTATAACTTCAAGTCTCCTCGACATCTGTGAGGAGAGTGTCCAGCATTCACTGCCATATAGGAGCAACGCTATTATGTTCAGTACTCTTTTCTTTGTTTGTAATGAAATTTTCCTGTTTCTTAATACTTTGCTTAGCTTTTGGAAGTTTCTTAATACTTAGCTTATCTTTTGCTATCACAATGCACCTTCTGACATAGTGAAATCAATAATCATATTCCAGTGACAATTACATGTGGAAACCTGGCTCTCCAATTACCGATTTCGAGTTATTATCCATTATACCACCCACACATTGAAGCTTACAGCACCTGGTATATTTCCAAGTGGTAACCCATTTAGGTACTGATCAGGCTTGATGTTGCTTAACTTTGATGATAATATGAGAACTGGTGTTTCAGTGTGATATGGCTGTAAGCCTCTGACTAGGATAGATAAAAAACTGAACACTATTGTAATCTCGTAGTGGTTAGTAACTTCACAGCAGACATACTTCAGTTAAATGATATCATTGCTGATTGTATTTGCTGATCTATTACATTCAAACACTCAAACATACACAAATTGAGTCAGTAAAACTGGGCCAAAAGCCACAATCAATAAAAAAGAAAAAAAGGTAAAACTTGAGCCAACAATCAGGTTAATAGGTTTGGCATATAGACAAGCTATAAACAATGCAAAACATTTTTTAAACATTCAACTTGTGTAAATGGAGACCGTTGAGGTTTGTATTGTCTTGAAAAATAAAAACAGTTGTACTATGAGTTTTTTTTTAGTTTTTTTAATTTAATTTTTTTTAACAAGAGTTAGCTAGTCAGAACTAGTAAAATGACTTGTAATTTTTTTTTTTTGAAAAAGATGTATCTTTACTTTTAGTAGTTTTAAAGTTTTCAAAAGAATAATACTAAAACTACCTCTGTTCCACAATAGTCATTAGATTTAGTATATAAAATATACATACAAGTATACCAACTATTATGGGACAGAAATAGTACAGAATATTATTGCTGTCCCATAATAGCCAAGACATTTAGTGTATGAAACACACACACAGATGTACCAACTATTATAGAACAGAAATAGTAAAAATATTACTGCTGTCCTATAGTACGCAATACATTTAGCATCTGAAATATATATACAAATCTAATCATTATTATTTGGTAGAAGTAGTAAAAATAATACTACTGTTCCATAATATTCAATACATTTAATCTTGGAAGACAGACCTCTGCCAAACCAAAGTATATACTGGATGACAAAAAAAAAAAAAAAAATAAAAAAAAAGGACGGAGTCGCAACTGAGAAAAATGATACCGAAAGGTGCCCAGCCTTGGGGACCAGCTGCTCAAGATCATGCTCTCCCATTGCACCAGAGAGAGTGATCGGTACTTGCACCAAGGCCAGCACAACCAACGTTTGCGGGGGCTGTGGTCAATTTTTGTTCCTTACCCAGGTGTACACGCTTGGGTGTTAAAAAAAGACCTTGTGTCACAACTCGCCGTAGTGGAGAGGCAGAGTAAATACCTAATATAGTAAATAAACTGCCAATAAAACTTAATCATATTTTTTTTTTACAACAAACTAGTTTTATGTAAAGGTAAGTGGAAAGTGATTTTTGTGGATGTATCTTTTTACAGTAACCTGTTTTATTTGAATTGTTTATAGAAATAGACATGTATCTGCCATTAAGAAAGAAAAAAAAATACTGTGTATTTACTGCCATTTCTCACAATCTACAGATGGAAAGGATTTAAATCAATGATTTACTAAGGCTGGCATGTAGTTTCAGTGATTGGTGAATTTTTTTTTTTTTTTTAGTTTTTTTTTAATCTCTAGCCACTTGCTTTTCACTTATCTAGGTTGTTGCCTGGCACTTGTGTAGACAAATTGGAATTCTTGTATTGACTAAACAAGTTTTTGTAAAGACTTGTACCTATTTTCAGGGGTATAAACTTAGAGGTTTTGGAATTTACTTAAGACAATGGCTATTATTTGAAAATTCTGTTTTATTTTTTTTATACACAGTATGAGGATGTAATGTTTAGGGGCTCAGAATGAGAAATTAGACAGCCGAATTCAAAGGGAATTCAATTTCATGCAAAAACACTTTGGGAAAGGTATGAACCCATCTCTTTTCTCTCTAGTTATGGGTTAAATAGCAGGGCTATGTGGGTTCTCTTGCCTTCAGGTGGCAACTATTCTAACAGAAAAACAACTCTAAATTCAGAACCAGTTGCAAGGCGCTAGCAACTCTGTTTCATAATCATTATGGTTGTCCTTTGGGTCCAAAGAATAATGTCTTGCAATTCATTAGTGGAACCAAATTAATTTAAAAAACACCTGTGCAAGAAGAATTTTTAGTGTGAAAACCATTGTACCAGGGTAATGCCACTCTCTTGGTCAGATCTGGGAGTAGGGTATCTAGTGACACAGTGAACCGTTACAACTGGAGACTTCCAGGCTGCAGTAGGTGACCAGGACTTTTATGTGTAACATCCATGTTCTGATCCACTCTATAGCACTTGATGACACTGCCATCATGGCTGTTGGATCTGTAGGAGGTTTCATCTGTCCATGTTGGTAGGACTCACTCTTCACATGCAATAGAGCTGACAGACCCCCAAATTATCGAGGGTTTGAACCTGTTGATAACAATCATCAGGTTTACTTGCCAGTCAAAGCGGTTTAGGGTGTGGCTGTTGTTGCCTGCAAACAACTATTTTGAGCCACAGGTGAGAGTTGGGCATCAAGTGGAAA